TAGAAGCCCAACAGCAGCCTGGCAACTGCAAAGGATGCATGGCATACCAGGGAGTCAGAGTATTTCTAATCGTGTTTTTATCTTGACTAGGACATAGGAAGAACTGGCACCATAGGAATCCCTGACTGTGGGGAAAGAACATCTGGCTCTCACACCCACACCAGACTGCAAAGCTTAGCTTGAAACTCTGCATGTTTAAGCATTAACACTACTTATGTTATTGTTGTGTTATTCAGCAGCTATAACTACCTTTAGGGATACCTCGCTGTGCTTGCTGAGACAAAGCTGTTTGTGAAGCCATATGGCATTGTGCCTGAATAAGACCCAAATTTGGACAGATAATTATATTCCTATAATTCCTTAGTTTTTGCCTGGAGTGCCCAAACTATGAGGTTCAGTACTTATATTAAAGATGCTTCAATTTGTCAAGGTGAGGGGTGTTTAGCCTGCTGAATATTTTGCTGAGAAGGGATTTACTTTCTCTCTCCTTTCCTGGTTCCCTGCAGTTTCCCCCCTGCTGATGGATGATCTTTCCCTAGCGACCCTAGAGAAGGTATTTTTCTGTAAGTGTGAAATTGATTCCAGCTGACAACAGAGTGTGCCAATCACTTCCTACTTTTGTCATCTTCAAAGACTCCTCTTCCCCTTATTTAAATTGTATTTTCATAATTGAAAATTGCTTTCAGATGACTTAATGAATTCCTCCACTCTATTAAGGGCTGAAAGTAAATGAAATACTGCAGCTTTCAGATTAAGTGTGTTTTTGTAGGGAAGCTTTAGCAGAAGCTTCAGCAACAACAGCAACAATTTTTTTGTATTAAGACATGCCCACTAAAGAAGTAAATCAGAGTGATAGAAATGGCATTTTCTACTAGCACCACTGCAAGAAAACAAGTCCTAAATTGTATTTTGACCTTATGGATATACTTGTGAAGCTTCCGAATTGCTGGAGCTGCTATCAATCTCTGAACAACTAATGTGATCCATTGATCAACTGAGATTTGCATTCTTTCCTGTTGAAATAGTGCTGCATTTTCCATTGTGATATCTCTTTAAACTGATAAGAATGACCCTGGGAAGCATAAATGCTGATGGCAAAACATAGTGTGTAATCTCTATTAGCTATCCACAGTTCATCTTTTGATAGTAAGTAGAGAGAGACATAAACTGTTTTCTTATGATGATACCCCTGATCACTGGGGCTTAAAATGCAGACTTGCACAACAAAGTAGTAGTTGATAAATACAGCTGAACTATTAAAACATCTGAAACTATGCTTTGAGACACTGTAGTGCAAATATCTGCTGATATTTGTGCGTCAATTATTCATGTAGTTTATTTAAAAGCAGCTTAGCTTTTAAGACCTTTTTTGTACAGAAGTGTGAAGTAGTGTTTCTTTATATTCTGAAAATAAATAGCAGTACCTATATTAGGAAATCCAACATTTTTAAATATATTTTTTAAAAGATCTTTTGATGGTTTGGGTTTTTTTTTAAAAGCTGGACAGTGAGTTGGTATATACTGGTGGGCTTCAATGCATGATTAAAAGCCAGTATCTCCTGGATTAGAATGAGTCAAATGGATTTACCAGGCTCACTGTGATAGATTGGCATTTAAGATAAACACCTAAGGAAGTTAAAACCGCTGGAGGCTGATGGGAGTTTTCCTCCTAGCCAACAGCTGGCCATTTCTAAGAATTGACAGCAGTTTTAACCATTGAAAAGTGAGATCAACCTGTGAACACCGCCTTAAGACCTAAGCCTGGGAATTTCTTTGTCTCTTTGTTTCCTGGCTGTGAAAGGTAACAGAGCTTTAGCTGGTTCCCGTTCTCTGTCCAGGCCATGCAGCCGGGCAGGGGCTGGGCTGGGCCTGCCGCGGCTCCCGGCCGGGAGATGGGGCCTGCGGGG